ATGGAATATTTGTACCATATAGAGGATGATAAAATGGAAACATTTAAGAAGATATGGAAGGAATGGTATAATTAAAAAAAAAAACAAGAAGATTTGTAGAAGCGGTAGGAGTATAAGGGAAAAAAGAAAACAAACAAAGATCTGAAAATGAAAGGAAGGATGGGGGATAAAGAAAGAGGGAAATAGTGAGAGAGATTAACAAATGAAGAACAAGAAGTAAAGGGTCGGACCAAGATGATATGGGTAGGGGAGGGTTGAGAAGAAGGGGGGGGGGGGGGGTGTAAACATGGGGGATGGAATTATATATGGATTTTTATACTGTATGTAACTGGTTTAAGATGGATTTGTATAATAAATTTTTTTTCATAAAGATAGAATTAAAAAAAAACAAAAAAAAAAAAACTTTTGTGCGGCCTTCAGATTAGAACAGCAGTGTGTAGCAAGCTTCATGGAATGGGTTTCCATGGCTGAACAGCTGCATCCAAGCCTTACAACACCACGTGCAAAGCGTCGGATGCAGTGGTGTAAAGCACACCGCCACTGGACTCTAGAGCAGTGGAGACATGTTCTCTGGAGTGACGAATCAAGCTTCTCTGTCTGGCAATATGATGGACATGTCTGGGTTTGGTGGTTGCCAGCAGAACGGTACTTGCCTGACTGCATTGTGCCAAGTGTAACGTTTGGTGAAGGGGGGTTTATGATGTGGGGTTGTTTTTCAGGGATTGGTTTGGCCCCTTAGTTCCAATAAAAGGGAACTATTGAGGTGTCAGCATACCAACACATTTTGGACAATTTCATGCTCTCAACTTTGTGGGAACAGTTTGGGGATGGCCCCTTCCTGTTCAAACATGACTGCGTACCAGTGCACAAAGCAAGGTTCATAAAGACATGAATGAGCGAGTTTGGAGTGGAGGAACTTGACTGGCCTGCACAGAGTCCTGACCTCAACCCGATAGAAACCTTAGGGATGAATTAGAGCAGAGACTGTGAGCCAGGTCTTCTCATCTGACATCAGTGCCTGACCTCACAAATGCGCTTCTAACAGAATGGTCAAACATTCCCATAGACACACTCCTAAATCTTGTGGACAGTCTTGTGTGTGTGTATACATTATATATATTCTATTAGTGAGGTAATTCATTCCTTGAAAAACAGGTGGCAATTATTGCCCTTATTTAAAGGAAGGAAGGCAGCAAATGTTGTACATGCTGGTTACAGTGCATTTCTCTCTGAAATTCTGAGGAAAATGGGTCGTTCCAGAAGAACAGCGTACCTTGATTAAAAAGTTGATTGGAGAGGGGAAAACATATAAAGAAGAAGTGCAGAAAATGATAGGCTGCTCAGCTAAAATGATCACAAATGCTTTAAAATGGCAACTAGAACCTGAAAGACGTGGAAGAAAGAGAAAAACTACCATTCGAATGGATAGAAGAATAGCCAAAATGGCAAGGACTCAGCCAACAATCAGCACCAGGAAGATCAAAGAAGGTCTAAAGTTACCTGTGAGTACTGTTACAATTAGAAGACGCCTATGTGAAGCCAAGCTATCTGCAAGAAGCCCCCGCAAAGTCCCACTGTTGAAAAAAAAAAGACATGTGCTGAAGAGGTTACAATTTGCCAAAGAGCACATTGACTGACCTAAAGAGAAATGGCGCAACATTTTGTGGACTGATGAAAGTAAGATTGTTCTTTTTGGGTCTAGTGGCCGGAGACAGTTTGTCAGACGACCCCCAAACACTGAATTCAAGCCACAGTACACTGTGAAGACAGTGAAGCATGGTTGCGCAAGCATCATGATATGGGGATGTTTCTCATACTACGGTGTTGGACCTATTTATCGCATACCAGGGATCATGGATCAGTTTGAATACATCAGAATACTTGGAGAGGTCATGCTGCCTTATTCTGAAGAGGAAATGCCCTTGAAATGGGTGTTCCAACAAGACAACGACCCCAAACACACCAGTAAACGTGCAACATCTTGGTTCCAGACCAACAAGATTGACGTTATGGAGTGGCCAGCCCAATCCCCGGATCTTAATCCAATAGTAAACTTGTGGGGTGACATCAAAAACGCAGTTTCTGAGGCAAAACCAAGAAATAGAGAAGAACTGTGGAATGTAGTCCAATCATCCTGGGCTGGAATACCTGTTCACAGGTGCCAGAAGTTGGTTGACTCCATGCAACACAGATGTACAGCAGTTCTCAGAAACAGTTATTATACAACTAAATATTAATTAACTAATTCAAAGGAAAGCAAAATCTTCAAACATTTTTCAGTTTATATAGTGAATGTTTGAGTTTGTAAAGAAGAATACAAACAAACACTACTATTTTTTGAACAGCCTAATATTCACTTTTCAATTTTATTTAGAGGAACAACACAAATTTGATCTATTTTTCTTCATGTTTTGATTTGGAATAGAATGTGTAGTGTTCCCAATGCATTTGTGTGTATGGAAGTAAAAGCTATTAGAAGGATTTTGAGCTTTATTCACTTTTTTCAACACACTGCTATTATTTTGAACACAACTGTACACACACACACACACACACACACACACACTAAATAAATCATATAGTAACCTAATGCAAGTGGAAACGAAGAGACTTTTAATCATCATTTGCAAGCCAGCCAACTATAATTTTCTAAAACTGCCAAACAAAAAACATAAACTGAGCCACAAATAGCAAGATAAAAATGAATAACCCATTAAAAGATTAAAACAAAATCAGGAAACATTACTTCTTTTCCATTAGAAGAAAGACTAGGTGTCATCAGTCTGATGGCCATCATCATTCAACCCTTTTTCTGTGAACTCAGATTGTCTTGGGCCGCCTCGTATGTTACTGGACAGTTAAAAGAGCAGTACAGTGATGAGATCGTGTCTGCATCAATGTACATTCTCCTCCTATCAGAATACTTTTGTCAGCACATCAACTGGTTGATTGTTTCTTCCTTTCACTCTCCAGCCCTGCTGTACAAGGACTGCAAAAGGCAGAAAGCAGCTAAAAATCAGATATTTATATTGCTTGCATTAAAATACATTTGAGAATGTATCAAATACAAGCAGATTGTATCTTTTAGCCTCGGTTCACACTGCTGTGACTGTGATGTGCTGCTGCTTGTGACAGCAAGTTGCATGACAAGTTGCAACACATTCATTTCAATGGGTGCCATCTTAATCATTGTGACTCAAGTAGTAACGCAAATAAAAAAAGTTCCCGCACTACTTTGTGTCTCTGGTGCGACTTGAGTGCCATAGACTGCAATGTTAAAAATCACAAAATTCACAAGGAATCGTATCTTTGTCTTATCTATGCAACTTTGGCTGCAACATGATCCGACTTCAGATGTTTTTTTTAGCCTATAATCAACCGTCGGTCCATTTTCTTCTGTGTTGATTGGCCAAAGTCGCGTGAAATTGCTGCAAGTCACAATGGAAAGTCGCCGTGAAAGTCACATGACTTTGGAGTTGCAGCAGTATGAACCAAGTCTTATATCTGCACAAAGTTGACCTTTAAAGTGCGAAGTATGTCCAAAACCTTTTTTGGTTATACTTCTCTTGTGGGTCCCACTTATTTTGTGCTCCCCGCGTAGCCCAAAATCAGCAGAATGCAGGCTAAAGCCCGTTATTGGCTGACATCACAGAACTGTTCTTAGCTGTGTAAGGATCCCAACCAGATTGTCCAGATCCACCTGGATGCCTGATCAACGGCTGGCTCAGTGAGCCGCTGAGAGGCTGAGCCAGCTTCTCCTGCCCCCTCTCCAATCTTGCTTTCCACTGAGCACTGGAGGGCAGAGCAGAGAGCCGATGACTGACAGTCATCCTAGGCCTGGTAGTGTGCTACTGATGGAATCACCAGGTGAAAATAAAGAAGAAAAAAAAAAAAACCTTGAAAAAAGAAAACTCAATACTGCCACAGGACTGGTAAGCTGAAATTTGTTACGTTTTTGCTTTTGGGTGTAGATACCCATCATTATCAAGGCAGCCGGACATCAATAATTTCATGGTCATCACATGCACAAAGCTAAGAGAACTGATTGGGACATCCAATTCTTAATAATTGATCCTGCCCCCATTGGGCATTGGTGTTTAGCATCTGGTTAGCGGCTTATTAATGGAACTATAAATTGGGGGACTGGCCCCCAGTTGGGATGTGGTACACGTCTGGAGGTGGTCTGGACACCATGTTGAAACATGTGGTGCCCTAATTACCATTCTTTTGATGATAATCTATATGAGCTAGGCGCATGCTGTTCCATCTTTAATTTGCAAGGTATGAAAGTTATAAATACTCTATATGCAGACTACAGTTTTCTTTATTATATTGACAGTTTTGTTTATTTCTATTTGAGTTTGATTCTTTTTGTCCTTTACAGGGCTTTACTGGAGCTTCACACTTTTGAGGCATCCTTTTGGATCCCTTTGGCTACCATCACGTTATGTGTAACTTATTTTTTCTGGGTAAATTCCAACCATTTGAATATTGTGTAACACTGGGCGTTGTTACTGAAGACGCAGAACTTTATTTTCCCACTACTTTGCCTCACTATAGTTCTAATACAAGTGCCCAGTGCAATCAGGGAGATGTAGTCTCAAAAGGAGGATCTTGAATACCATAGAACTGAAGTCAAAACTACAAGGCCTACCAGCAGGCCTGCACTGGCCATAGGGAACACCAGGCATTTGCTCTGAGGGCATGGGTGGGGGGAGTAGCTTGGCAACACATAGAAGAACCGATCCATCCATTTCTTTCCTGCCACAACTGAATGCCCACTTTTTCTCCTTTCACTCCTGTGGGCATTCAGCTGCAACAGGAGAGAACTGGGTGGATCAGTTTTTCTATGTGCTGCTAAGCTGTCTATGCAGCCAGAGAGCCCATAGTGAGCTACATGCTGCCTCTGGTTTTGCTCCTGAGTGTAGTACAGCTTTTGTGCCTCCTGTAGCTGGCAGACCCAATGGTCTCTCACCCAGCCAGCAGCTTCTCCACAGACCAGGGGCGGACTGACCATTTGGAAACTCGGGCACTGCCCGAGGGCCCGGGGTCAGTAGGGGGCCCCATGAGATGCCCCTGGTACCTTTTTCATAGGTTTTTTTTGAATTTGGGCAAGGACACAGGGGCCCCATGATCCCCTATTGCCGGGGGCCCCATGAGTTGTCAGTCCGCTCCTGCCACAGGCTGACCAAACTTGTGGGTAAGTGTTCTGTTAGTCGATCCTGCTCAGATGCTCACACACAGGAGTTGTGTAGTTAACAGGAGACATTTTATTAGGTGCTTCTAGCTGCCATTATACATGTGTCTGCCTAGAACTACAACCAAAGAGAGGCCATAACACAGTTGTACCAGTATCTAAGTAGTGAGACCCCTAGAGGACATACACAGCATATAACATAGCTAAAAATTAAATATAATCCTTGAGGTGAGCCGGCTTTCTGATTGTTCTGCCAGCTCGCGTAACATATGAGGTTTCTTCACAGAAATCTTGGTGTTCTTCTGATTCTGGCAGTCTATTTTCTGGGGCTGTCTCTCTCTGCCTAGAGACCTCCCTATGCTCCTCAGCAGTCCCTGTTTCTTTGTTGCTGGTATTCATAGTCTCATCGCTTTGAGTGTCCATATACTGTTCCCAGGGCCCTGTATCATCTCCTTCTTGTGTTTTTCTCAGATGTCTCAGATTTCTCCTCCATCTTCTTCCTTCCTCTGTTATAATTTCATAGGACCGTAGTCCCAATTTCTGTACAACCTTCGCTTTTTTCCAGTGTTTGTCATATTTGCCTATTGGCTGAATCCGTACATTTTCATTGCTCTGGAGAACAGGCAGATCTTTTGCAGATTTATTATAATAGAAAGCTTGCCTATCTTGATTCTTTGTTAGTTTGGCTTTAACATTGCCCACAAGCTTTGGCTTTAGTAGTTGACCTGCAGTTGGTAAGAGAGTCCTTGTACGTCTACTCATAAGCCGCTGTGCTGGACTGGTGTCTAGGCCTTGTGTGGGTGTGTTTCTGTGGTCCAGTATAGACAGGTATATCTCTGTACCTGCCTGTTTTGCCTTTTGCATGAGTCTTTTGGCTGTTTTTACTGCTGACTCCGCTTTACCATTACTCTGTGGATATCCAGGAGATGATGTCTGGTGCTCAAATTCCCACTTCTCCCTGAATTTTTTGAATTCTTCCAATGTAAATTGAGCGGCGTTGTCAGAGAACACAATATCCGGAATGCCATATCTGGCAAAATGGGCCTTGAGTTTTTTAATTACTGTTTTGGCCGTTGTGTCCTGTAAGTAGTCTATCTCCCAGAAGTTGGAAAAATAGTCCACAGTTACCAGATATTCCTTGTCATTCCATGTGAACAGATCTGTTCCTACTTTTGACCATGGTCTGTTTGGAATTGTATGTGGTTGCAATGTCTCTTTCGGTTGCTTATCATTGCACGATGCACATATTTCACACTGTGCTATAAAGTTTTTTATGTGGTCATTCATTCCAGGCCAATAAACATATTCTCTTGCACGACGTAGACATCCTTCTACACCTAAGTGAGTTGAGTGCAATCTTTCTATAATGTCTCTTCTAAGGGATTGTGGTATGACAACCCTTTCTCCTTTAAAGATGATTCCATGCTGCACAGAGAGTTCATCTCTTATATGAAAAAATGGAGAAACCTCCATTAAAGCATGCTGCTTGTGTTTTGGCCATCCCTTCAAGATGACAGTCTTTAGGATCTGTAGAGTTTTATCTTCTGCTGTGCAGGTCTGTATTTGTTTCAGTCTGTCTTTTGAGACAGACAGATATTCACACATATTGATGCTTTCAATGTCTTTTTCTTCTTCATTTGTGATGGGTAAGTAAGCTCTGCTTAGGGCATCTGCAATCAGTAAATCCTTCCCTGGACAGTAACAAATGTTAAAATCATATTTCTGAAGCCTTAACAGCATACGCTGCAGTCTTTTTGGGGCATTCAGTAGTGGCTTCTTTGTAATACTTTCTAAAGGCTTGTGATCTGAATGCACCACCACTTGTCGACCGTAGGTGTACTGGTGAAATTTCTCTAACCCAAATACTACCGCTAGTAGTTCCTTCTCGATTTGAGCATATCCTTGCTCTGTTAGAGTTAACGCTCTGCTTGCATATGTGATTGGCTGTTTATCCTGCATTAGTGTGGCTCCAAGGCCGGTTTCTGAGGCATCACATTGTACTACCACTGCTTGATCTGGATCAAAATATTTTAGCGTTGCTGCGTCTGCAATAGCATTTTTCACTGACTGAAAAGCAGTTTCATGGCTTTCTGTCCATTCCCAGAGTACGTCTTTGTGAGTTAGCTGTCTCAGTGGCTCACACATGTCTGATAAATGCTTGCAAAATTTGGAAAGATAATTCACCATGCCCAGGAATCGTTGTACTCCACGTATATCTGTAGGTGTCGGCATGTCCTGTATTGCCCTCACCTTCTCTGGATCGACTTTAACACCATTTGAGGTAAGAAGATGTCCAATATATGGTACTTCTGTCATTTTTAGTTTGAATTTTTCCAGGTTCAGTTTGATTTGTTTTTTTCTACATCTGTCTAAGAATTGTATCATCTTTTTATCGTGATCCTTTGTTGCGGATTCTAGATCATCACCTTCCCCAACTATTAGTATATCGTCTGCTATTATTTTTACTCCAGACAGTCCTTCCAAAGCTTGCATCAATTTTTGTTGGAACACTTCTGGAGCCGGGCTTACTCCCATTGGCATTCTAAGCCACTTATAGCGTCCAAATGGGGAAGAAAATGCTGTTAATAAACTTGATTCTTTATCCAGTTCCACGTGCCAGAACCCATTTTTCACATCACATACCGAAAATATTTTAGCCTTTGATAGATCTGGTAGAATATCTTCTATTGTTGGCATTGGATAGTGATTTCTTTTAAGGGCCTTGTTCAGTGGCTTAGGATCAATGCATATTCTTAACTTGCCTGATGGTTTTTTCACTATCACCAAACTGCTTATCCAGTCTGTGCTTTCCTGTACTGGTGCTATCATACCTCTGCTGTGCAAATCCTGCAGTTCCTCTTTAAGCGGTTGCATTAAGGCTACAGGTACTCTTCTTGTAGGCAGTCTGGTAGGCTGTATTGTATGATCAATTTCTAGTTTGTATTTACCTTCCAGGCACCCATCACCTTCAAATAAATCAGCATACTCTGTTTTTATGTGGTGAAAATCCAAAATGTATTCTGCCTTTTGTTTAGGATTTTGAGTATTCTCAGAAACTTCCAGAGCCATGATGTTATGGGACTGCACCTTTATTAAGTCCATAGCCTGAACTGCTTTAACTCCCAGCAAAGGAATGTGATCGTCCTCCTGCAACACAGTAAACTCCACTCTGTAGCTCTTTCTGTTACGTGGATTTCTTAATTTTAGCTTGCATGTTCCCATGGGTTTCAGAACACTTTTGTTGTACATGACCAGTACCTTATCAGTGGGCTCAATGGGAACCTGTTTGTTAAGCAGAGTAAATGGAATGACATTGCAGCTTGCTCCACAATCCAGCTGAAATCTTATGGGCTGTTCATCCACCATAAATATGGCAAAGAGCTGCTTTGCATCATTGGCTACTGGCTGTTTGACTACATTGACGTTCTCTGTTGCAGACTGCAGCTGCAGCCATGTGATGCCCTCTGTGCTGTCCTCGTCTGTGTCCTGGGTCACTGTGTGGACTTGTCTGTACTGTTTGCTGGTTTTGAATCTGCACACAGCTGAAAAGTGGTTCATCTTGCCACAAGTCCTGCAGGACTCCCCATACGCTGGACATTTCTCTTTGTCTCTTTCATGTCTTTTGCCACAGTATTTACACTGGACTGAGCTCACAGGGAGCCTGGACCTTGCTCTGCCTTTCACAGATACTGCATGTACTGAGGCATCACTGGTGCCCTCCATCATCTTCAGCCTGTCTTTAGTCAGCTCAGCAGCCCTGCAGATTTGTATACATTTCTCCAAAGCCAGCTCTTCCTCCCTCAGTAATCTTTCTCTGAGGTGAGAGTCTCTGATGCCACACACTATCCTGTCTCGGATCAGGGAGTCCCTGATGTCCCCAAATCCACAGGTTGCAGCCAGTCTCCTCAGCTCTGTCACATATCTGTCCACACTGTCCCCAATCTCCTGATTCCTTGAGAAGAACTTGTATCTCTCCACTGTCTCATTCTTTTTGGGGTCACAGTGCTTATCAAATGCTTGCAGTATGTCTGTCAGTGCCATGCTGTCTGTGAGCAGGGTCTCGGCTAGTTCTCTGCCTTTTCCCCAATCAAGTAATAAAACAGCTTTACTTCCCTCTGCTCATCTCTGGGTGCCACTGTCAGGTCCACATACAGAGTAAACTCTTCCTTCCAGTGTCTCCATGTCTGTGAGAGATTGGAAGAAGTGACATCCAGTCTCTGAGGGGGTTTCAGGCCACTCTCCATAGTGCAGTCTGATAGGGACTCTGTACTTACAGTTGCTGCTTCTCTGTACAGTTCTAGTGTCACACAATCTGTATTTGTAGACAGAAGACTTGCTGTTCAGAGGTTCAGTGCCCAGCTGCCACCATGTTCTGTTAGTCGATCCTGCTCAGATGCTCACACACTGTAGTTAACAGGAGACATTTTATTAGGTGCTTCTAGCTGCCATTATACATGTGTCTGCCCCAGAACTACAACCAAAGAGAGGCCATAACACAGTTGTACCAGTATCTAAGTAGTGAGACCCCTAGAGGCCATACACAGCATATAACATATTGCTACAGTAAGGCTGGGGTGTGGCCACCTTAAGTTACATGCACAGGTGGCTGCTCTTGTTGAAAATGATAGGGGACTGGTAGAAGGAACATGGATATTGACCCCAGGATCTTGACCTCCATTCATATGGTGAGTTATTCCTGCAGCAATTCCCTCCATCTGCAATGCTTCACCTTGCTACTGTAGTTAGTACACTTAATGCTGCTCACTGCTCCCCCCATTTATACTGCTCACTGCCCCCAATATACTGCTCCTCCCCGTATACTACTTACTATCCCCCCTGCATACTGCCCCCCCTCCCCCGTATACTACTCATGCCCCCCCCCACCTTATACTGCCCACTGCCTCCCTCCTCTCTCCTCCGTATATTGCTCCCCCTGTATACTGCTCACTGCTCCTCCCCCCCCCCCCCACTGTATGCTGCTTTCCTCATATACTGCTCACTCCATCCCCATGGTATACTGCCACCCCTTGTATACTGCTCACTGCCTTCCCCCCACTGTATACTGCCCCCCAATATACAACTCCTGCTCCTTCCACTGTATACTGCTCCCCCCACACAGTTTACTGCTCCCTGCTCCCCCCACACAGTTTACTGCTCACTGCTCCACCCCTGCTCCCGCCCACTGTATACTGCTCACTGCTCCACCCCTGCTCCTCCCACTGTATACTGCTTCCCCACACAATGTACGCTGCCCACTGCTGCCCCCGTATACTGCCCACTGCTCCCCCATATACCACTCACTGCTCCCCCCCATATACCACTCACTTCCCACCCCCAATATACTGCTCCCCCCACACAGTTTACTGCTCACTGCTCCCCCCACTGTATACTGCTCACTGCTCCACCCTTGCTTCCCCCCACTGTATACTGCTCACTGCTCCACCCTTGCTCACCCCCACTATATACTGCTCACTGCTCCACCCCTGCTCCCCCCCACTATATACTGCTTCCCCACACAATATACGCTGCCCAATGCTGCCCCCCCGTATACTGCCCACTGTTCCCCCCCCCACTGTATATTGCTCTGCACCTCCAACACTGTATACTGCTCACTGCTCCCCCCTGTATAATGCTTCACTGGTGGAGCTTCCGGGGTCACAGTTGCCCATGCAGCCTCCCTGTCACTAGGGGCAGCACCGGGGGGTGCTACAGAACCCCCAAAAATATTGCTAGCATCCATTGACGGAACTATCAGGGTCGGAAAGGTTGCACTTGCAACTGGGCCACTGCATTCCACCTCCATGGGTGCCACCCTGCTGAACATGTAAAATGGTCCTGCATCGGGACCTTAATGAAGGACCTCGCAATGGGAGTAAAGGATCCCGGGATCAGAAGGATCCTAGAGGGAAGGGCCCCGGGAACAGAGGTTAGGGGAGACCTTCATGGTTTCTTACATCAGGGCCTTGAAGGTTCTAGTTATGCCTCTGCTCCTATCCATTTGTTTTCTGCTGCCCTCAAGCCCCTACCCACTCTTCTGGTCACCCTATGCTCTCTCTGGGCACCTGTGTGCTCTCTCCTGCCACCCCTTTCCTTCCCCTGCCTTGTTCCCCCCTCCCTCTTACAGCAGCTGCTGCGGGAGATCTGGCCTGCTCAGTCTAAAATGCCTTGGCCTATTTTAGGTCCCAGTCTGGGCCTGTTTTCATGGTTTCTTGCACCAGTGCTCTGAAGGTTCTAGTTACACCTCCTCTCTGTACCCCATTTATCTCACATTGGACCTGGAATTGAACATCTGTCGCTATATCAACAGCTCATTGATCACAGCAATGTTCTGTGGGCTGTAGATGTGAACATTATTCCAAGGGTTCCCTAAAATCTCAAACTTTTTGCCAATGGTTCCTCAAATGTAAAAAGGGTTAAGAAACCCCCACAGTCATAGTCTTCCAGTGCTTCAGGGATTAGCACAATCACCTGGACCTGTCATAGGCATTTATCAAGACTGCCAAATATGCCGGTCCATTCCAGCCATCCTCCTCCATTCATAGAAGCTGAACTCTAGTGTCCATCAACGAAAAGTGCTCTATGAATGGAGGAGGCAGACCTTTCATTCATCTGCCCATCCTCCATTCACTGATGGAAGCTATAGTACAGCTTCTATGAATGGAGGAAGATTACAGATGTACGTGTATGAGGAGGACATAGGATGGAAGATTTCAACTAAGACAGCAGCCCAAGAACACGGGGCACGTCTCATGAAATTTAAGGACTGTACTTTGTGCCGTTTAAAAAAAATTAACTAAACGTACTGTAGGTGTTGAAAAAAAAGTTAAAGTTCACTTCGAACATCTAATCATATACAAAAAAATTCTAACTTTCTAGAATTCCCCTGCACATGATTAGGTATTCAACGTGATGCAGCCTCTCCAGGCATAGTGAACCCTTAATAAATCATTCTCATTGTAATACTGTTATTCAGAGAAAAGGGAGAGGCTGCAGAATGCATAGCATGCTACACAGAGAATTAAGTCACATTCCAAGGGCCTGATGTAAAATAATTTGAGTGTGTGATGAAGAAATATCTTTTTTTGCAAAAATCTGGTCCTGCTTACTGCTGTATAATGTAAAAACAAAAGCTTCTTTGATGCCAGAGTGGCAGCACCCTTCATTTTGTGCTGCGAGTGAACGGTCTGACTCCCATACAGTGTGGGAATTGTGTTGTGTAGCTCCCCCCTCCTCTATTCACAAAATGTTTTGTATTTCATTCACAGAATTTCACACTATACAAGGAACTTTCACTATGCAGGAAGAAGAGTCTCTAGTATTCAGCATCAGTGATGTTATCAGTTATACACTACACAGCAGTCCTTAGATGCGGTGACTGCATTTGTTTTCCTTTCTACTTTATGCTCACCTGGTGGTTCTAACACACTTCCTGTTCTAGGGTGACAACACTCACTTACTGTATCTATGGAGAAGAAGCATTGTCTGCTTAGGACAGAAAGTGTGTTAGGAATACAAAACAGATTTCTGGAAGAATCAACAGGTATTTGTTTGCATTTATTGATCAGATATAACAAAGCACTTCCAATGGTTTATTTAATAGAGGAAAAAAGTATAAATAAGAAACATTCATTGGGGTTTATATATCCCTTAGGGTCCATTCAAACTGCAATGTGTGTGTTGATTGTACGTAATGCACATGTATTGACATGTGTTTGTATGCTGCGTTAAGATTTAACATGCGCTGCAATACTTCTTACATTTTTTTATTAAGAAAGCTTTACATGTAAAAAAAAACTTCAACTGAATATTTTGACTCCAACATTTATAGGCAATGCACTGTGCTTACATGCATTCACATTCTTTGCATCGCATTGTGCTGAAACAAACTATTTATTTATTTTTAGCACATCAGTACAATGCAGTGGTGTGAACTGCTCCTATTGAAATACATTGCTTTTACAACATGTATGTGCTAGCATGTATAGATCAATGCATACCACCGAATGTAAAAAATGTTATAATTTTTTTTCAAAGAAATAGAGCTTTGTTTTGGTAGTATTTGATCACCACTAGATTTTTTATTATATATATATATATATAAAAAAAAAAAAAAACATTTTTGAAAAACAAAACACAATATCTTTTTACTTTCTGCTATCAAATTTCAAAAACAAATTTCTGCAAAAAATTAGGCCAAAATGTATTCTGCTACATGTGTTTGGTGAAAATAAAAATCTCAAAAATCCCAATAAGTGTATAGTGATAGGTATGCGTGAAGTTATAGCATCTACAAATTATGGTGTATATATATATATATATATATATATATATATATATATATACACACACATATACACACACACACATATATATATATATATATATATATATATATATATATATATATACACTTACATACACACAGGAATTTTTATTTTTATACTACTAATGGCAGTGATCAACGACTTATAGTGAAACTGTGATAGTGGGTAATTTGACACAAACCGACACTGGATGGGAGCCAACTGTCACTGACATCACCAGTGACATTAATTCAGTGATCAATAATAATACTATACAATGTCACTGTACTAAAGGGGTTAACATGGAGGGGTGATCAAAGGTCTGTGTGCCTAGCAAGTGTTAATGTGTGTATTATGTGCTGCTTTTTACTAAAAAATCTCAAAGAATGTGCATACTATGCTCTTAACTTGCAGGGAGCCGTTTTTGAATTTTTGGGGGGAGGTTTGCTACTGCTACTGCTTTAAATAAACAAAAAAAGACCAAACATTTTGAAAAACAAACCCAATATTTTCTACTTTCTGTTATAAAACCTATCCAATAAAATTTCTTTGTAAATTTAAGCTTGGTTCCCACTGCGAGTCAGCACCTGTTCCCACAGTCGCAACCACCCGCACAGAAAAGAAGATGCGTATGGGTGCCATTAATCTTAATGGTATCCGCACGCATTGGTAATCACAGCAGCCACTTCCCGCACTGGGAACCATGCTGCCCTTGCAGTTTCTGTGTAAGATGCCATTTAAAAAATTATGCAGGGGGTTTTCAGGAGCAAAATGTGGCTTGCAGAGTTGCAGTAGTGTGAATCAGGCCTTGGGCTAAAATGTATTCTGCGTCATGTCTTTGGTGAAAAAAATCCCAATAAATGTATATTAATTGCTTTGTGTGAAAATTATAGCGTCTACAAACTATGATCTAAATACTGAAATTTTACGCAGCTATAGACACTCTGGGATGGACACTGACTATATGACACGGACATCGATAGTGGCACCAATACAGTAATCAGTGATAATACAGTACACTGTACTATTGACGCTGGGAAGAGGTCATATCGAGAGGCAATGAAGGGGTTAACTGTGTGCCTGCATTCACACATGGACGTTTTGAATCATGATTTAAAAAACGCACTGCTAAAATAACAAATTGCGGAACCGTGTATTCAGGTGCCATTCATTTTAATGGTACCTGAAAACGTGGCGTAGTTCTGCCGGGACTGTCGCACAATAAATCACACTGCAAACTACATCACATGAAGCGTATTGCCCAAAAGAAATTCCTGAGCTTCTTTTGGGCAATACGCTTAGCATAATGCGGTTTGCCACAATTGCAGTGCGATTTATTTTGCGACAATCGTGGGAGAACCGCATCGCATTTTTGGGTACTATTAAAATGAATTGCACCTGAACACACGGTCTATGATTTGTCATTTTAGTAGAGCATTTTGAAATCATGGGCAGAAACGCAGCGATTCTGCCCTGGATTCAAAACACCCATGGGTGAATGCAGCCTAACAAGTGTAATGTGCGATGCTTTTATTCACAGATCTGGCTGTTTTCTCTCCCTGCGTTTCAGGGAGAACAAACAGCCAGATCACTGTTCTGTGTACACAAAGTCCTGTGTGTTTGTAAACACAGAACTTTCTGCTGTGATTGGCCACACCTGATCAGAAGGTTTCAGCTAAAATCATTCGATGACACCTGCTGATAAACTCCAAACACAGAACGGGTCAGCAGGGGGGTGCACGCATGCGTGCCTGAAACCTGGTAGAAATGCTGCGATGTGTGGGTACGTCGCTTAGCCTGGCTGTGCCGCCTGCCTGGAGTAGATGTACTGTTCTCTGCCGGAAATCGGTTAAACAGAACAAAAAGTAAACAGTGTAATGGACCGTGATCGGCGCATTGGCACTGCTGTCATCCTACCACATATCATTGGCTGCACCCCAACACAACCAATGCTATAAACCAACTCTAAAGTTGTACCTATACAGAAGAATATAAATACTTACCTCTCCTGCTGCCCATGCCGCAGATCGCTGCACTGATCCAAAAGAATCACCTTAAGAATTCTGCGCATAGAGTGACACTTCCATGGGTTTTGATGTCCTGTGTTCCCTATGCCATTACTGTAATATTGGCAGCCACAGACACTGCATTGGTGTATGTTGGGCAAAAAAAATAGAACATGGGGCATTTAAAAGGCAGCACAACATGCTGTCACAAATTACAATGCATCACAGCAGTGTGCGATAAGGGCTGGTTCACAGCATAAAAACACAGTCTGGATGCGTTTCTGCATGCACGGTTTTTACGCATTTCGGTGCATTTTTAAGGCTATGTGGTTAATTTTTACCCCTTTTTCTTCAATTTAAATAGGGACATGTGCATTCCAGTGTGCTTTTGGTGCATTTTGGATGCGTTTTACCATTTTCCAGTACAGTTCTCTGCAGCAAAAGTGCGTCTTTTTCTGCAACTGGAATGCACTGGAACTGCAAGCACTGATGTAAACTACGACATTGACAACCATATAACCTACTTTCTGTGCATTTTGGATGCAGAAAAAAAAACACACTGAAGCGCATGTAGTGTGAGCTGGTCTTACAGTGTCCATTTGTGCCTCTTTGCCTGACCTAACCCCACTCCCCCCCCACCACCACCACCACCGAGGCATACTTACCTTAATCTGGGTGGTTTGGATCCAGCTCAGCAAGTCTCCCTCTCCTGGCCCTACCTGTGTATAAAAACCCCATAGACTTCTAATGGATTGTATGCGAAAGATGATGGGACATGACCCCATAGCAGTCTATGGAACTTTAATGTGCAGGGGCAGCCAGGAAAGCGAGACTTGGAGTCGTTGAACCAAGGTAAGTATGCATCTGTTGAGGGGGAGGATGGATTAGGTTAGGTCAGGGCAAAAAAAGATAAGTGCACAAAAAAAAAATAAAAGTATTGTGGCTTGTGATGTCTTAAAAAGAATTAAAAAAAATCAGCAAAAAATAAATTAGCACAACACAAAAAAAACTTTATAAAAAAAGTTATATAAATCCAGCCAGAAGTTTTACGTTTTTTTTCTTTTTTAGCTTGTTCTGAAAAAAAAAATCATTCAACTCAAATGTAAGTGATCCTGATGCAGCTTTCTTGAACTCCACTACAAGCACTACAGGACATATCCTGTTTTCATCTTAAACTGAAATTTCCCAAGCATAATATTTTTTGTGGCATACAGGAATTCGTTGATTACTGCTTATGCCAGAAAAATACTACCCAGATGTAATGAGGGAGTTTTTTTCTTTGTTGAGTAAACAATGTACATGAAATGGTGCCATATACATTGCCTTGAAAAAGTATTCATTCCCCTTGAAATTTTCCACATTTTGTCATGTTACAACCAAAAACGTAAATGTATTTTATTGTGATTTTATGTGATAGACCAACACAAAGTGCAACATAATTGTGAAGTGGAAGGAAAATGATAAATGGTTTTCAAATTTTTTTACAAAAAATCTGAAAGTATGGCGTGCATTTGTATTCAGCTCCCTTTACTCTGATACCCCTAACTAAAATCTAGTGGAATTAAATGCCTTCAGAAGTCACCATATTAGTAAACAGAGTCCACCTGTGTGTAATTTAATCTCAGTATAAATACAGCTGTTCTGTGAAGCCCTCAGAGGTTTGTTAGAGAACATTCGTCAACAAACAGCATCATGAAGGCCAAGGAACACACTAAACAGGTCAGGGAGAGGTTTTAAAGCAGGGTTAGGTTATTAAAAAATATCCAAAGCATTGAACATCTCACGGAGCACAGTTCAATCCATCATTCTAAAATGGAAAGGGTATGGCACAACTACAATTCTACCAAGACATGGCCATCCACCTAAACTGACAGGCCGGGAAAGGAAAGCATTAATCAGAGAAGCAGCCAAAAGGTCCATGGTAATTTTGGAGAAGCTGCAGAGACCACAGTTGAGAGAATCTGTCCATAGGACAACTATTAGTCATGCACGTCACAAATCTGGCCTTTATGGAAGAGTGGCAAGAAGAAAGCCATAAGAAGTCCCATTTGCAGTTTGCGAGATGCCATGTGGGGGACAGAGCAAACACATGGAAGAAGGTGCTCTGGTCAGGTGAGACCAAAATTCAACTTTCTGGCCCTAAAAGCAAAACTCTATGCGTGGCAGAAAACTAACACTGCACATCACCCTGAACACACCATCCCCACTGTGAAACGTGGTGGCAGCATCATGTTGTGGGGATGCCTTTCTTCAGCAGGAACAGGGAAGCTGGTCAGAGTTGATGGGAAGATGGATGGAGTCAAATACAGGGCAATCTTAGAAGAAAAACCCATTAGAGTCTGCAAAAGACTTGAGACTGGGGCGGAGGTTCACCTTCCAGCAGGACAACGACCCTAAACATACAGCCAGAGCCACAATGGAATGATTTATATCAAAGCATATTCATGTGTTAGAATGGCCCAATCAAAGTCCAGACCTAAATCCAATTGAGAATCTGTGGCAAGACTTGAAAATTGCTATTCACAGACGCTCTCCATCTGACAGAGCTTGAGCTTTTGCAAAGAATGGGCAAAAATGTCACTCTCTAGATGTGCAAGCTAGTAGAAACATCTCCTCCAAAAAGCTGTAATTGCAGTGAAAGATGGTTTTTATAAAGTATTGACTCAATTATGTGCCACTTTGTGTTGGTCAATCACATAAATCCCCAATAAAAATATATTTACATTTTTGGTTCTAACATGACAAAATGGGGAAATTTCAAGGGGTATGAATACTTTTTGCTTTTGTACATGCTTTTGCTTTGTTTATAAGACAAATATCTATGCATATGTACAATATTAGGCTCGGTTCACATCTTTTCAAAATTGTGACACGCACAGATATAGGCTGCCATTTAGCAGATGCAAGGTGGTGCTATTAAAGTGTATTTAAACCCCCACCTTGTAAAACAACCCATTCACTCTACGGGTTTGTTTAAGGGCTTGATGCTGTAAACAAAAAAAAAAACAAAAACAAAAAAAAAACAAAAAAAAACAAAAACAAAATGGATGCACCAAAATGCACCTCCCAATTGAAATAAATGGAAACGAAAACGGATAAAAAAATGCACCTGTGTTGTGTTTTTTTGTGCGTTTTTCGAGTCACATGTCCTGAAAAAAACGCATATGCATTTTTGCCACAGATCAGTGTGAAAGTAGCCATAGGATAGGAAAGGTGACATTTATGTGGTTTTCACTGGGCTGGCTCCACAATATTATTGAAGCTCCTTTCAATAATCATGGACCTATTCTTACACCCCCCCAAAAAAAGGCTCTACAAATACAATTACAAAATTTTAATATACTGTACTAAACTTTTATTATTACAAACCAACCACAATGTACCCTCTAGGTGAAAAAAAAAAAAATTTGCAGATTGTTTTTTCAATCTAAATATCACCTAAACAGCTTAATGAGGTAAATAAAGAGATTTTGTTTTTTTTTTTTATTACTGACAAAGATTTATTTTATTATGCTTCTACATTTAAATGTAATGGTTAATACACACATCCTCTGCATGATTTATAGAAAAACAAAAAAAAACTATAGGCCATATGTTTTCTGAGACTCCACACTGCTTTATGCAAACACAGCTACAATGACTTAACTTGTTTTTCAGAGTTCTCAACTTTTTAACAAGTTTAATTCATACATTAGAAATAACAAAGCAACTACCATATAAAAGCATCATGGCATTTCAAGATTTCAAATTTTGGACGTGCAGTATTTGGAATATTATTTACTATTACTGCTATAAAAGTCAAACAATGGTATGAGTGGAAACATTTTAAGTGCATTTTGTTGATGAAGGATTATGTATCTAGTAATACTAAACAATAATAATATAATAATAATGAAAAATACTAACAAATACCACTACTACTACAACTAATAATAAATACACATATAAAAAAGCAACATTTTATTCAATGTTACGGAGTATGATAGTCAAACTGGCAACAAAGGCAACAGCTTCCTACAGATCTTAATATTTGATTTATATATATGTATGTATGTATGTATGTATGTATGTATGTATATGTGTGTGTGTGTGTGTGTGTGTCAAACTGGTACCAAAAACAACAGCTTCCTACAGATCTTAATAATATTATTATTAATACTAATAAT